GAAAATTTTATTAGATCACACAATGAGAACAACCTTGACACATATTATTACCAAGGTTCAATTTCAACTATCAATGCAAATAAATGTGTGAATCCTTAGGACAGCAGTCACGTGAGTAATAAGAAACACACACCATGGCTGAAGACGTCTGTGGACAACAAAAACTGGCTGGCGAGCACACCTCACAGGCATGGCGCCCTGGGAAGCTGGTCAGAGACACACTTTGCAGCAGACTCACAATTATTTACATGCCCTAAGAATTTGTCTCTCTGTGCTCTTATAAATTAACCTATATGCCAGGCAACTATCAATAAGCACTCAAATTGCTACTGTCTAGTTAAAACCTAATGTAGCTGGTTAAAGAAGGGATCGTTTAGGAGATTAAATGGAATCATATTATTTCTATCTGATGTGTTGGTAGCAACAAATTTAGGCAAGAAAATGGTTGTCAAATATTTGTTTAACTGGAAGAGTTATCTGGGCTTGGACAAGATACCACTTGCCACTCTGCTCAGCCTTGCAAACATCCCACACTAGGAGGTTACCTATTAAGTGATAGACAATATATCTTGTTAGTTGTTAGAGCATGATGACCTTAGACTTTGCCCAGGTATTTAATAAAACCATCTGCTGTCTAGGTCTGCAATACTATTATTTTTACATGAGGATTAGTCTTCTTGCTTCACAAAAAAGGTTGTAATAACAGTGCTAAAGAAGAGCAGAGCAGCATGGTATTTCAACTCAGCTGTCCAAGTAAAATATACAGGTGGTGCAGCTCACCCCAAAAATCCCAGATCATTGTCTTGAATCTGGAAATCATGATGTGCTGAAGGCTGAGGGGCTGTGATCCAACTTTGTGGACTGCACTTGGGAAAAACTCCTGTGTCTTGCCTGATAACGAGCTGGGAGTGAATTCCACTGTGGCGCAGGCTGCCAGTTGCTTTGCTCTTTCTGTCACCGTTGCTGTTTCCTTCCCCAAATCAACAGCAAGGGTCCAAAGGTCACCACTTAGTAATCACTGTGCCTTCAGATCTTTTTCTCCTCGATAACATGCTTTTAAAGCATGTGTATTAAGTGCCAAATAATCTATGTCTATATCTATAACTATAAAGGGTCCAATTCTGTTCTTGCTGAGAGTGATGTGATTTTTGGCCTGGGCTTCTCAGAGAATTTAGGAGAGGGAAGAAAACAGTGGATTTCTCTATGCAGCTGTTGTCTTCTGGTCAGTACTTCCATGGGGCTTCGTGTAAAGCCATTCCCAGTGTGCTGGGAACCTGAGCCTGCTGGATTCAGTGACAAAAGTCTTAACGACTGAGATTAGTCGGTTTCTCACTCTGGAATGTTGCAATTTTTGTGCAAATAGTCTTTTCCTCTGAATAAAGAGAAGCTGAAACCTGGTAGCTGGTGAGCTGCCAGATGGAGGAAGCATTAGAGGTGTGAACACCAAAATGCTCCAAAAAACAAGGCCAAGAGAAAGAGCCCAGACCATACTTTAAATTAAAAAGTGCACATTTACAGTGTGTTTTTTAAAATGTTTTTATTTTGCTTACTCCTTATGTTAGTCCAGTGTGTGTATGAGGAATACAACAATCATGAATTCTCCACACTCTCCAGTTTAATTCCTATATAAGACCTAGGAGGAGGAGTACTTTACTCGGCACTCTGTTGCAAGAGAGGTCAAATATGAAACTGAACATATGAATGTAATTAGGAGGGCATGTAAAATATGGGGGCTGGATGTCTTTACAGTGTCCAAAGCAGGCATGTCTTGACATGCCATTGGTTGAAGAGGATTTTAAGTATTCCAGTCTGTCAGACAGTGTATCTGATTACATCTGAAGAGTTTCTTAGTCTTTTGCTCATCCGATTTTTCTCATATTTCAAGTGTAGAAGTTTGATTCTGAAAGCCTAGCATGCAGAAATAGTCACCTGTTTTTGAAATACATGAAATAATATCTTTTTATTACCAATGCTAGTTTTGGAAGAAGGTGTGAAAAAGTCCAGGTTCTTCCCATATGTGGCCTATACCCATTCTGAGGCAAAGTAAGTTCTAAGGAAATTTATGTATGCTACCTGAAGCTGCATATAGCAGGTTGGGATGGGGTTTTTTCAACCATTTGTAAACAGAGAAACTGGTATTTTCATATCGTATAGAGCTGAGTTGGGGTTCTTTCTATTGTTTCACAAATGATAAGGGAATGGCTAAAATCTGCACCAAACTGACATACAGAAATCTATCTCTACCTTTTGCCTATGATTTGCATTTTCTTTTAAACCTTTCCAAGTGAAGCAGTAGGCAAAACCCCCGGCAACCAGAAGCATGTGCAAGGATGCAGAAAGCTTTAGAATATGTTTCCACACCCTGCTGACCTATTCATCAAAAAGTCTGCCAAAACACGTAACTCTCAGTATAAAACAAAATTCACAACAAAAAGGGCCTCTCTTGCATTAACCTACTTCTTTCCAGGTTGCATGCCACTGCAGATCTCCTAGAGGAAGGGGAGCTGAGCCCATGATGTGACTTTTCTGTCAGTCCTAGGAGTTTTCCCAGCTCCTTGGCAGAGGGGAGCACTAGCAGGAGCAACCCCCCTCAGCACTGGCAATGAGTCAGGCTGGGACCCTGAGCTGAGCCAAGCAGATGCTACGGTTCTCTGGACGAGGCAGGAGTGAGCTGTCAGCTGCACGACCGCTTGACCTCACGTTAACCGGTGCTGTGCATTATCACCTCAGGCCAAATGCCACTCTAGTGAAAATTCAGTGACTTAGCCGAGCTGCCTCCGGCAGGAACTATGTTCCCACTGTGATCACTGGTTTCCTGAGGTCAGGGGTGGTGAGCGATACTAGGTTTAGATGTGCCTGGCTCTTTCTTTTCCCAGCTGTCTCTCCATTTGAAACACCATCCCAGTCCAGGAGCATCACGCAGTCTCAGGCTAAGGTTCTCACAATCCCAGAGAACACTTGTGGAGCCATAAACTTGACATCAATGGCTTCAAATGGAAAGTAGTCTCCCAAACTGAAGTAGACAAGGGAGTATCTTCCTCCCTTCATACCTGCATCCCATGTGCCAATTTTCCAGATTTTAATACAAAGTCCCCTTTTATATTTTGTGGGCACGCACATAAATGAATATATACACACACACGTACCCGTTTTATTCCAGTTTTGTACCAGTTAGACACCAGGCCCGATAAGAACAACATCAAAAAAATCATGCTGGTACTTAAATGTTTTTGTAGCTCTACTGAGCCATAAGGACACTCCTCTGCAGCGCAGGGATTTCTCCACATTATCAATGTTGGTGATGGAGACAGGGATGCTATAGTGCTCTGCAAGAGATGGATCCCACTTCTCAAGCTCCTCAGGCCCTGGTAGGAAATGGTAGACCTACATCCAGAGTGGTCCCGTGACCCTTGGAAGCCCAGCTGGTCCATGTGTCCCTCCCTCTTCCCCAGTGTGCACTCCAGCAGCCTGATGAGGTGGGGCACAGCCACTGGTGAGTAACAGGATGGGTATAGGTGCAGCACGAGGTGCAGCACGAGGTGCAGCATGAGAGGCTTCTGCTACAGCTCCAAAGTGATCCCACTGCTGAGGTCCCTTCCCAGCCTCCCATCCTGGCCTGCTCCCTTTTGCCCCAGGAGCACTAGCACAGCAGGATGGGGGCACCTGGGCAGGTTTAGCTGCTCTGCATCTGTTGGTGCTGCCGGATTTGCTCCAGCAGCAATGCAGGCAAGATGCCAAGGGCAGCGTTAGGCAGAACCAAGCAGCCAGAGTGGGGGAGAGTGGGACCACTTCTTCTAGCGGCAGCACCAGCTCATTGTGCCCACCGAGGCAAAGCTGCAAGTGTGCTGCATGCTCTCCTCCAGTAGCTCACCCATATCCAAGACTATTTGGATCAAAGACAGGATGAGATGGTGCTCTGGAAACCAGGGCCAAGCTCATGGCGCTCTGGGGTGGTGATTTGGCCTGCTATTATGTAAGATTTAACAAAAGCTGTATAACAAAACTATTTTAAGTAAGAATGTTAATTGAAGGCTGAGTCAGGCTGCAGCTAAAGCAGAGATGTTTTTGAGAGGCTTGTACCCTTTTTCATTTGGTCTGTATTTTTTCCACTTAATTACAATGTGTGTGGAACAGCAGTTAGCAATAATAGTAACTGGTAGAGGGAAAATGGATGATCAAGATGATCACCCTCTTGCCTCTGGATCAGCCATTGAAACCCATCCCAGATCTGCAATATTCAAAAGTTATTAACCTCTGAGGCTGCACAAGGCGTATGGGAAGTAGAAGCAGACAATGGAGCAAAGAGGCAGCTGCTTAGTGCTCCTGATCATGATGAACTATGTGTTGAGACTGTGACGAGACGTGTTAGGGGGCAGGTTGTTGAGGGATGCCTGTCTGGCACCTTCCAGGAGCACATGCAAGACCCCTGAATCAGCAGAGTGGTGGCTGTGCAAGCAGTCTCTGCAGCCACCCCAGCGAGCTCACTGACATGCCCATTCCTCAAGCATGATGCAAGGTTCTTGGCAGGACCCATTATGAAGATGACTAGTCCCTCATCCAGTCCTGTTTGGGAGACTAAGTGATACCCAAGTCCCAGCCTTTGGCAAGTTCCTTTAATGACTAAAATTCACAGGAGGAGACTGAGTTTAATTGCCAATTCCAGCACAGGTGTACCAGTTATTAATGTTGCTAGTGTTCTTTTAATCAAATATGAACTCAACTGTACTTCCTAGCAGGCACCTCTCTTTGGAGCTCAGCTTGAGCAGGAGGGATGTATGTTCCTGGAAAACAGATGTGCATGATTTTTTTGCCTGAAACTACACATGGACAGGATGAGGTAATGCAATACAGATCTGCTTTAAGTTTACGAACGCATCATTAATGCCTAAACTCGTACGTATTGCTCCTCAGCATTGCTACACAGTATTATACTACTCATATGACAGAACGTACAAGAAGACAAAAATACTCTTTTTTACTTGTTTTTACTTACATATTACACTGTAGTCATCAAAAAGATAAGGCTATGGGCTGAAGCACAGAGAAGAGCATTTCTTCCCTCCTCTGACTGTGCAGAATGCTCCCTGAGGGGCTCCCTGCAAAGGAGGGGTACTGCCTGGGCATCAGGAGGAGAGAAAGGGAGAGAATCAGACGGAGTGCCAGGATGCCAAAAACAAATTTTGGTTCTATTTCATGTTTTCTCAGATTTGGGCACATTTCTGTTGGCTCTTTACATTGCAAAATTGAAACAGTATAGCTGCAATGATTAGCAGAAACATGGGCACCTCAACCATATCTCAATGTGCCTGAAACAAACCAAGGCTGCAGCCTAATGCATCATTTTGCAGCCTTTGCATGCTGATGGCCAAAATTCCTGTGGAAGGAAGACTGGCCTGTTCAAGGGACTCTCCTTTAGCAGCTGCACATTGCTCCCTGTGTTAAAGTGTTTCACAGGGCAGGGGGACAGGGAAGCATGGGCAGGGAAGGGCACCAGCACAGTTCATCTTGCTACCCAGCTAGGTGAGCATGTCTGGTTAGCTACCCGGTGTTTGGTAGCTATAAAATCCTAGTAATTGCTGGGGAATCAGAGAGGGAATCCACTTTAAGTGGATCTCTTCAGGTCTCTTTGAACTAGCTGATTTGTGAGGAGGCCAAATCCATCACCACCTTCCCCCCAGAGTGCCCTTCCAGGTGCCCGTGCCCTGCAGGGAGGACAAGGCAACCGCTGGGTGAGTAGAAAAATGGGATTGCAAAATGGCTGGTGCTGCCAGGAAGCCTGGAGGACAGCAGCAGCACAGAGTACCTTCAGCTGGGCTGCCTGCCCCACTGATGGTGGTCCTGTCCTGCCCTAAACTGTGGGGCCATGGCCATCAGCAGTCGAGGCAGGGAGGCCTTTGGGGACTGCGAGTTCTTCTGGCAGGCCCAGAAGGTAACTTGCCAGCTGGAGCTGTCAGCAAGCGCCAGTTTGCTGCTTCAGTGGGATGTTTGGGTAATGCAGGAACTCCCATGTTGGAAACAACATTAACAGCCCTGGCCCATGCTTCAAGAAGGTCTGGGCCTCATTTTTGACTTTTATTTTGTGTGAGGACCCCACTGCCAACTCCCACAAACAGGAAAAAAGCATTTCCCAGCCTGAACTCCTCAGCCCATCTGAGAAAGCCCTTGGCTCAGCCTCCCTGGGGCTTCTCTTTGTGCTTTGCTCAGGCAAAGCAACCCTTCCACACATGCAGAAAGGGAAGCTCTGCCCCTCTGCAGCTACTCAGGGCTCTGCATGCTGCATCATCATGGGCTCAGGGGAATGAAGCACAGACAAGGCATACAACTATCTGGGAGCTTAAAAAGAAGGAGTTTTAAAGCCCTCTGTAATTTTTTCAACAGATGATCTGTTTCTGTTCTTATTTTGTAACGTTTCCTGTGGAGTCCACGCCCCTGTCCAATTTTCGAAGGGTACTTGGAAGCCTGTCGACTCCCGCACAGAAGGCAGGGATCAGAGCCAGCACGGTGTCACGGAGGGGTCACGGCTTCCTGGGCTTCCTGTTTATTTTGGGAAGGGGTCACCCGGCCAGCCGGCCGCTCTGCCTGCACCTCGGGAAGCCCCCCGCCACCACATTCCTGCCCCCATCGCCCATGGATGCAGACAATTGCTGACTGTGGCTCAAAATGCAGAGCACCAAGGCGGGGTGTAAAGGGGATAACCCGATATGCCTATTTACCCAGCCTGGGGATAAGGGACGGAAGCTTTTCCACATCAATTACCCTTTCTTCTGGTATCTGGAAGTGTCTCTCTGAAGTTTTTCTTTCTCTTCCAAGGGTAGTAACTTCTGAAATTCTTAAGTACTTCCATGATCTTTTCCTTGATGCTTTTTTTCTACTCCTGCTTGAAAAGAAGGCATAAAGTCAACTGCACTGCACAGCTAAAAACAGAATTGTTTGCTTTTTTAAAGAAAGCATGCAATTTTTGCTCCAAACTGTCTAGGGTAGAGCCCACCAACGGAGCAGAATCTGTAGCACCCAGGCTCTTGTTTGCAGTGTGAGTCCCTTGTAACTACTCCTGCCCAAACTATCTAAAGCAAAACACTGGAGCAGAATATCAGCATACATACATATTTCAGGAGATGGCACACCAGTCTCCTTCTGCTGTTTCCTTTTCTAGGCAGGCTCTGCTTAGGAGCCTCACAGCTCTTCAGAAGTTAACACAAAACAGCAGCGTTCAATGCAGCTGTTTTCAAGGAGTTAATAAAAGGCACCATGTATGGAAAAGGGCAGACACTGAGTAGCTGCTCGAGTCCCTCTCAATCCTCTGGCATGTCCTGCCTTGCAGGGAGCTAGTGCAGTGACCTCTCTCCAGCCTCAGTAGAGTATTTCTGTGCCAGTGCCTCTGTCAGCTCCTGCCATCAACAGTCAGCTCCAGGCTGCAGGGCAGCCGTCAGCACACCACTGACAAGCGGCTCTCAGGCAAGCGTGCTCTTACCCGGTGAGCACGTAAGTGCACATGGCTTTACATTCATAGTGATGCTCCCGTGAATAAAGTTATAAGTGGTTGTAAACATCTGCAGGATCGGTGGCTTACCATGAGCCTGTCCAAAGCCTATTTATGTCAACAAGCTGTGCCTGATTACACTCTCATTTGCATCAGTATCTTTTTTTTTTCCCTATGGCACTAACATTGTTGGCCCAGAATCACCTGCATCTGACCAAATCCAAAACCTCAAGGACTATTCCCAGTCTCTCTTCTCTCAGTTCTGGGAGAACAAGCTCCATAATTCATTATGGATCAATGAAGGAGAGGTGGTAGCACTCTCCAACATAATCACTTTTCCATCTTGGCTCTGGCCATTTTGATACTACCCTGCAGGACTTCTGCTGCAACAGAAGGATGCCAATAAGAGCTGTGGAGGAAGCAGTGTATATCTGCTGGATGAGTATGCGAGACAGCTCTCGATGGGGAGGGAAAGAGGAATGCCAAGGGCACAAGAGAGCAGGTGAGGAGCACTGGTTTGGACACAGAAGGAAGGGCAGGCCCCATGGGGGATGAATATGTAGGTAAAGTGCAGGCTGGGGGCACAGTTCTGGGACAAGGATCTGCATGCGATCACTTCCACTAGCACAGAGGACAGGTGGTAAAGTAAATAGGATCCTGCAGGGAGAAAGAGAAACACAGTAAAATCTCAGTGTGGTTCACTGAAAAAAGCCAAAAAACACACAGTGAAAAGGGGCTTGCCGTGGCGATGTAGGGGTGGCAGACACAGTTCATCTCAAAGAGCTGGCCTCTTCAACCTCTCCTCTCCCTTCTTTCCCTAACCTATGATATTGGGCACACCAGAACAAGACAAAGGCTTTCCACACCGTGCTAGACCCCCATCCATGCTACCAGGGTGCTCCTTGGCCAGGCACTGCCCCAGACCTGCACAGCCCCACATCTCATCAGACGTCCTCCAGCACTCACTGCTCCTATCTATAGCTTTGGTGTGTCATAGCAAGCGGCATTTCGCAGAGATCAGGCACAAAAGGATGGTTTCTGTTTCAAAAATGAGAAAAAAAAGGGAACAAGAAACAAACGCATTATTTGTTTGATTCCTGTGCAGTTACCACTGTAGCAGTCAGCAGCTTTGAGGTATTTTTTTTTGTGATTTGATACATAAACCGCATTTCCTATGTAGCACTGCCACTATTTTTTATCAGCTTTTTGACATTGAGCTCAGTAACATGGGTTTTTGCTTGGCTTTTTTTTGCCTTTTCCACCAGAGTGAATTCAAAGGCAGTAAATGTGGCAGAACCAGAATACTGCTCGTCTTGACTTTTCCATGCAGCTAGTTTTGATTAGAAATAAAGGAAAATGAATACAGATCACATTTTCTGTCCTGCAGTTAAAAGCCTGCCACAGCTGAAAGCCTTGCTTTCTTCTTCCCCTGCAGCCTCGCTCAGCTAGCACTCCAGCTCTGCTCATGATCTGAAATGTGCAAACACACTGTTTCTTGGCTTTCCACCAGTATATATAAATATATGTAATTTTTTCCTTCGGAGAACCTGGAGGCTAAAGCAAGAGGGCAAAGGAGTACGTGACTAAAACATCCAAACTTCCTCTTTCATAAGCCATCACATGATGAAGTGCAATTACAATTCCTGCCTTGTCCCTGCCAATTGCAGGCTCGTTGCCTCATCCGAGAAACCCGGCTTCTTCCCCCCGTGTGTGTGTGTGTGTGTGTGTGTGTGTGTGTAGGCAGCGATCGCTGCAGCCGGCTTGGCGAGGCTCCAGCTTCGAGCTGGAGAAAGAGGGCAGTGGGTGGAAGACGAAAACAAAGCTCTGTTTACTTAGCATGCATGGATAAATCGTCTTTCCAGCCGGGGAGAGGAGGAGGGAAGAGAAACAGCTTTAAAGGACTTCGATGCAATGCGAAAGGAGGGCTGCTCGGTAAAAGCGAGCCGATGTTAACCCTTGGCTCTCCGGGAGCACGTCGGTGCCCCGGCGGAATTGTCCCCTTCTCCTTGTTCCTGCCCCCCGGCCTCGGCTGGCCGCCTCAG